TCGTTAAGCTCTCTTTCTGACAAGTACTCTCCACGTGAGTCTCGACAACTGGACTACATTTCGCAGTTTACTTCAGATATTCAACACATCTCTGGAGCAAACAATGTAGTTGCAGACGCTTTATCTCGTATAACTTCCTTGAACAGTTTCCAAGGAATCGACCTTCTTAAACTCGCCGAGCTTCAAAAAGAAGACAGTGATCTTCAGCACGAGTTATCGTCCACAACACTTAAACTACGCATCAAACAGATGGGAACGGGTAAGGAAACCTTACTTTGTGACACATCTACAGGTAGGGATCGCCCAATCGTGCCGAAACATTATCGACGCAATGTCTTCAACACATTGCACAAACTTTCGCATCCAGGTGTTCGTGCAACCATCAAGCTTATTGCAGAAAGGTTTTGCTGGCCTGGAATGAATAAAGACGTGAGGGAGTGGGCACGCTCCTGTGTAAGCTGCCAAAAATCTAAGGTTATCAGACACAATAAATGTCCCTTAGGCTCGTTTAAAACTCCCGATGCTCGTTTCGACCATGTTCATCTGGATTTGGTAGGACCTTTACCAGATTCAAATGGATACTCTTATCTCTTAACCTGCGTAGACCGTTTCACTCGATGGCCAGAAGCAGTACCTATCAAGGACATCACTGCTGAAACAGTGGCCCGCACCTTCGTCGAACGATGGGTAGCAAACTTCGGTTGCCCTTCAACCATCACTACAGACCGCGGACGTCAGTTTGAATCCGATCTTTTCCGTCGTCTGACCACACTTTTAGGAATCACTCGATTCCGAACGACCGCCTACCATCCACAAGCAAACGGGTTGGTAGAACGTTTTCACCGACAACTGAAAGCTTCGCTATCAGCTGCAAACGTTTCACAGTGGACCGACGCTCTTCCACTCGTCTTACTAGGTATCCGCAATGCAGTGAAAGCTGACATTGGATACACTGCGTCTCAACTCGTTTATGGTACGACACTTCGACTTCCAGGAGAATTCGTGGATCCTTCATCCTCTTCAATGAACATGGATCTAACCTCCTACACGAACAGGCTTACAAACGCAATGCGTTCAGTTAAACCTGCTTCCACTCGACCTCAATCAACTGATGTTTTCGTTCAACCTGACTTACGATATAGTACACACGTTTTCGTTCGTCGAGACTCGCATCGACGACCCTTCGAATCAGCATACGAAGGACCCTTCAAAGTTCTTCAACGTGAATCTAAGTACTATATAGTCGATAAGAACGGAACCAACGATAGCATCAGTATCGATCGCTTAAAAGCAGCGTATTTAGAAGGAAATCCTATCTACGTGGATTTTCCTTCGGTACAATCGAACGACACGACTCCGACACTTATAATACCTCATCCGACAACCAACACACACGATGATACTTCGACAGTATCCGAAAATAAACTTAAAACGACGCGTTCTGGAAGAAGGGTGAGATTTCCAGAACATCTAAACGACTATTGCACGTAAGGCACTTCTCGACATTTTATATTATTTTTTTAAAAAAAAACAATTTTAATATGCTTATATATTTTTATTTCTATTTTAAAAAAAACAAAACAAAAAAACAATTTTTTTAACGCTATTACGTGTTCATGAGTTTATTTTCCTTTTTTTTTCCGCCGACATTGTGCTTTTACGCACATACGAGTGTATTTCGACATGCACTTACATTTTCTTTTTTCTTTTCCAGGACGGCTGGAAAAGAACGATGACGTTTATGAGGATCCGAAATTTTCATTGTACATTTTCTTTTTTTACTATGTTGTACTTCCGTCCCATATAGTAAGGAAAGACGACCAGACGCTGCTAAATTTAGTAAGCTATCGGAAGAGTGTTTACCAACGACAAACTCGTTGGGTTTAAACTTCTGGCTGGCCACGTCTTAGGGTCGTCACTGACCCACTAGGGGGGGAGTGATCTGTAGCGGTAAATAAATCCCCAAAATAAATAGCACTAAGTTTTCGACATTGGATGCTGACCATATGTTTTAGTGGACTCACCTAGCTGAAGGCGCTCGGTCAGGCATCCGCACCAGATCACGTGTGGTAACGCCGTGCTCAACATCAACCGCAATCGCTAGCCAGATTAGATCAGAGAATTCCGATATATTGGTCATCGCCAAATACACTCTTCCGATCTCCTCGACTCTGTCTTTTGATTTCTCTGGGCGGGAACGAAATATATTAGAAGGTGTTACTGGTAGAAGCGTTGTCAAACACTGAATACCTGTGACATCAACACCGGAATCAGATTACCGTATGTGGAGAGAGAACAGATATAAATACTATTTTCAGATTGCATGTAGTAATTACGAAGCAGTGTCTGAAATTGACCTCCAGTTAAGGAATTAGTACAGTATACTACTTAGTTGTCTTAATTCATTCATTCTCAAGATCATGCAAATGTGAGTTGACTCAATGATAATTCTCATTCCAATAAAAAGAGACAGTTGATTTAATTATCCCGAAGCAGTACACCGAGGTGAGCACGAGCTTGGAAAATATTGGAGACTTGTGGTTCAGGCGGCTGGTCATAGACGGCACTATATTCCTACACAAATGCATACACAAAGCCACATGAACTTCACCGGATCACACTACGCAGAACCAAATCGACCATATCTGCATCAACACAAAGTTCAGGAGGACAATGGAGGAAGTGAGAACCAAGAGAGGAGCTGATATAGCATCAGATCATCACTTGCTGGTCGCCAAGATAAAATTGAAACTCAAGAAGCGGAGCATCAGAAGATTTAGCGACGACGGCGGAAAAGTCTGTAAGACAAGGAAACATGAGGCAACTGTATGACACGACAAAGAAACTCTCTGGAAATCGCCGCAAACCGGAGCGCCCAGTGAAAAGCTAGGAAGGCAAGGTTATCACCAAGATTGAAGAGCAACAAAACAGGTGGGTAGAACACTTCAAAGAACTCTTGAATCGACCAGCTCCACTGAACCCAACCAATATCGAAGTAGCACCCACGGACCTCCCAATCGATGTTGGCCCAATAACAATTGTAGAGATCAGCATGGCCATCAGACAAATCGAGAAAGGCAAAGCAGTGGGACCAGACAACATTCCAGCAGAGGCACTAAAAGCAGACGTAGCGGCAACTGCAAGGATACTCCACATTCTCTTCAGCAAGATTTGGGATTATGAACAAGTACCAACAAACTGAAAAGAAGGACTTCTGGTCAAAATACCAAAGACAGGTGATCTCATCAACCGTGATAACTACAGGGGTATCGTTCTCCTCTCAATACCAGGAAAATTCTTCAACAGGGTATTGTTAGACAGAATGAAGGACTCCATAGACTCCCAACTTCGAGACCAACAAGCTGGATTCTGTAAGGATCTATCATGTACAGACCAAATCGCAACTCCACGGGTCATTGTGGAACAATCGATTGGGTGGAATTCATTACTCGACATCAACTTCATTGACTACGAGAAAGCATTTGATAGCGTGGACAGAACAACACTATGGAAACTTCTTCGACACTACGGCGTGCCTGAGAATATAGTCGACATCATACGGAATTCCTATGATGGATTAAACTGCAAAATCGTACATGGAGGACAATTGAAAGACTCGTTTGAAGTAAAGACCGGTGTCAGTCAAGGTTGCTTACTCTCACCCTTTCTTTCGCCTGGTGATTGACTGGATCATGAAGACGTCAACATCTGAAGGGAAGCACGGGATACAGTGGATATCTAGGATGCAGTTAGACGATCTAGACTTCGCAGATAATCTGGCTCTTCTATCGCAAACGTAACAAGAAATATAGGCGAAGACGACGAGTGTAGCAGCAGTAGGTCTCAAGGGAAAAGCAAGATTCTCCGATACAACACAGCACGCAACAATCGAATCACACTTGACGGAGAAGATTGGGAGATGTAAATACCTTTACATATTTGGGCAGCATCATTGGTGAACATGGTGGATCTGATGCAGATGTGAAGGCGCGGATCGGCAAAGCAAGAGCAGCACATTTACAAGTGAAGAACATCTGGAGATCAAAAAAATTATCAACCAACACCCAAGTCAGATTTTTCATTACAAATGTTAAGAGTTATACTGTATGGGGCGGAAACCTGGAGAACGACGAAAGCCACCATCCAGGAGATACAGGTGTTTATTAACAGTTGTCTACGCAAAATACTTTGGATCCGTTGGTCAGACACTATTAGCAACAACCAACTGTGGGAGAGAACAAACCAGATCCCAGCGGAGGGAGAAATCAGCAAGAAGCGCTGGAAGTGGATAGCATACACATTGAGGAAAGCACCCAACTTCGTCACAAGACAAGCCCTCACATGGAATCCTGAAGGTCAAAGGAAAAGAGGAAGACCAAAGAACATATGACGCCGGGAAATGGAGATAGACATGAGAAGAATGAACACTAATTTGATCGAACTAGAAAGGAAGGCCCAGGACAGAGTGGGTTGGAGAATGCTGGTAGGCGGCCTATGCCCCATTGGGATTAACAGGCGTAAGTATTTGTCCACATACTGAATTTTTCATGTTTTAATTTTGATATACGTATTCAATATAAATATTTTGCAAGGTTTTAGTAAAAATACAGTGGTAAAAGAAAACCTCCATGTTGTATAAATAAAACAATGTGTAACAAGGCTTTTTTTCACTTTCATTTTAATAACTATTAGAATGAAAATATTTTCTAGTCTAATTTAGGTTTTTATTTTCAATGTCCAGCAAAGATAAATAGGAATTATACTTTAGTTAACACATTCTGGTCACTGTTTCTAGTGTTACATTTTAATTATTTATTTTATGTAAAACAGTTGGATAGTTGAATAATAAAGTCATACATTTTTACATCTCTTACCTCTTATATTTGAGTAGTTCAAGTATAGTTTTTCTTTAACGTAAATGGTTCCTACTCCTCATACGTAGAATCTACGGCTTAAAGATTATCTGTGTTTCTGGTTTTTAGGTTATTCTTCTGCGTAATATGTGTGGACCAGGTGAAGTTGATGATGATCTAGAACCCGAAACAGCTGAAGAATGTGCTAAATATGGCAAAGTAGTAATGTGTATGATTTATGAATTGCCTGAAGCTCCGGATGATGAAGTAGTTCGTATTTTTGTGGAATTCGAATCTGAAGAAGCAGCAACGAAAGGTAAGTGTTAATGTGCATATATTTTCATGCAGAGTTGATTTCTCAATATTCTGAAAAAGTGGTAGTTCCAGTCGTGTATCATTTTTCTGTCGTTTGTATTCATTCATATTCACGTAATAATGTATTAATTTGCGTACTATTTAACCAAGTATTTTTAAGATGAAAAGATCTCAGAACTCATTAATTTCTGTAAAGTTCCAGCATGTTACCAACGTCTTTCTCTTTTATGTGAATAACTAGTTGCCATTTGAAGTCATTTTAAACAGCGAGTCCGCTTTTTGTCGGTGTCAAAATATTTTCGTGAGACAGATCATTTAATCCATACAATCGCTGATAAAATGTATAGAGGAACTAGTTTGTTGGAACATCGCTGTGATTTTGAATGATCTTAGTGATTAGTTTATTATCTCAATTAAAATCTCCGGCTGTTATGGCATCAGCGAAAGTTTTATTATACAATGCAGTTTATGCACGAACTTCTTTGCCTCAATTAAATGTTTATAAATGATAGGTTATCACTGAGTTTGTAGAGATCGTTGAGTTCCAAATTCAACATCACAGATTGGTTTCAGTTACAGTACTGTTGGGAAGAAACAAAAAAGTACTGAACAGCTGTTTCGTACTTTTCTGTGATGGGCTTAGTTCCTGGATCTCTAGTGACAGCTGTGATCACAGGAGTTCAGCCGTGATGGGCTGACACAAATTTCACCAACAGCAGCTGGTCGGGTGCGCGGAACATCACTAATTGACTTAAGTTGGAAGTGCGAATCGCTAGATACTAACTGAACGGTTTAAATCTTGGGCTTTCTCTGAAAGTCATGGATCCAGTACTTAGTAATGTTAAAAGCACACTACTGACTGGTCCAAAACTCGGACGAAATAGCTGTCCAGGTTATCCTTGTTTGCAGTAACTGAAATCAGCCCGTGAATAACTACCTATTTATAAAAGGATTTTTAACTCAACTGATTTAAGACAACAGCAAGCTACACTTTTGAAAATAAACACGGCTTCTGATGTAATTCAGAATTTTCAACTCAAGGGCAGGCCCACAGATCCAGTCCTAAAACACACTTGTGTGAACTAATGAGGAAAATACATTTGAACCAACAAACTACTAGCTTAAAAGTGAATTATTTGACAACTACGCAACCACTCCTACTTATGCAGCGTTGTCTAGCAGAAAGTTTTGTGGTTCTAATTTTTTACCATTGTCACTTTTCATATAATTCCCGCTTTTTCAATATTCATCGCTGGTTTATCTTTTTATAGCGGTACTCGATCTAAATGGCCGATTTTTCGCTGGACGTGTCGTGAAGGTTGGATTTTACGATGCAGAAAAATTCAGGAATTTGGAACTCGCCGATGCGCCATTGTCTACATAACTTTCCGTTTCATTATGCACAGTATATATAATTATTGTCTAGTTATACATATACACGTGTTCTAATCGACTTCACAAAACACAGTATACAACTCCCGGATTGGAGAACTGATTAAATGCGGGTTTCCTAATACAGTACATTAGGTAATAACATATTCCTCCTAATTCTAAGTAGAAATAACAAGAGCACTTTCATATAGGGCTCAAAAGTCAGTCACATACCTACCTTGAGCAAAACTCAAGATCTTGACAGACTGTTGGTAAAAGTTATGTTCAAATTGTAATAAACTACATTCTGATAAAGCTTTTGGTCATGAAATTTATTATTTGCATATTGTTCTTGTTACCAGTCTAGGAAAGATAATTTGCTGAGAATATAAATTGTAGCTGAGAATTGATTCAAAGTTTTTTATTTAGTTCTGCATAATTTTCTCATTAATCTTAGTATATATTCTTATTCAAGCTGTTTATGTATTTAGGTGATTTACTTCAATATCCTTAGTGCATTCGAAAACTTATTTACGAAATATTATGCTCAACGGTAATCAGTTTGTGATATTTTCTGACAAGCACTCAAGATTTGGTCCGCGAATTGCTAAAACCTACGTTATTTATTTATTTGAACACATAAATATTGGTACAAGAGGGCACCAAATATATATGCACCACTCAAAACAATGAGAATGGGAAGAGAAAAAAAGAACAATAACGACCAGATTAGTGTAAGGTAGTGTTATAATAATAATAATAATAATAATAATAATAATAATAATAATAATAATAATAATAATAATAATAATAATAAAGGGGGAAACGGAAAGGCACAATCAGAAGAAATCTTTCGTTTAAGGAAGATACAACCACTTTTTATGAAGAAAGTAAAAGAAGGTTACGACAGGATCGCCACTGGCTTCTATTCTGAGCCATATCTGATAACGTCTCTAGCCACTGTGTAGCACCATCTCTCGGACCCCAACCAGAGAGTCGTGAAGGACCAACACAAGCCAGTCCTTTGCAGCTTTCTTCCATGCCACGATACCATGTCACACACTGACCACCTCTCCGCTTTCTCCAGCCAGTCCCAGAGTCGGCGAATAATGCATGACGTGGAATTCTGTGGGTTGACATTCGTAGAACATGTCCTAGCCACCGAAGTCGATGTTTCAAGATGGTGACACCAATTGAATAATCGTCTCTACGCCCGAACACACGATGCCGAACCTCTGTATTACTGACATGGTGTTGCCACTGGATGTCAGCAATCCTTCGGAGACAACGATGATCAAACACAGAGAGTCGTCTAACGTCCTCAACTCGGAGAGGCCAGATTTCACAAACTGATTAAGTGCGGATTGCATGACTTTGGCATTGTCGCACAGTAAGACAATATCATCCACATACTCAAGGTCGAGAAGTCTTTTTGCAGGCAGCAGATCTACACCGCCATTACTTACATCCATCAGAGCTGTTTCTAGAATGTCATCGATGGCAAAGTTGAAGAGGAATGGTGAGATTGGACAAACCTGCCTAACCCCACTGCTCGAATGGAAGAATGGAGAGAGGTGGTTGTTGCCCTCGCTCTGCCTGAGGTGTTTGGATATAGGGCTTTTAGGATGTTAATAAACTTCTCAGGCACACCCTTCTTCAATAGACAATCGCAGAGGACAGTCCTGTTCAACGAATCGAAGGCAGCCCTGATGTCAAGAAACATTACGATTTTTAGTATGTGATAAGTATGTTGGTGTTCTAACATTTGGCAGAGGGTGAAGATATGATCAATACATCCTCGATCAGAACGAAACCCAGCCTGCTCCTCGCGAGTCAATCTTTCTCGAGTTTTGAACAACCTACGAAGTATAACTGAAGCCAATAGCTTGGACGCAATCGGAAGTAGACTTATCTCCCGATAGTTGTTACAGGAACGACGTGAACCCTTTTTAAAGATAGGGACAACTATCGACTCATTCCATGACGTTGGAACACTCTCTAGCTCCCAGACCTTTGTAAACAACGTCGTCAATTCCTTAGTCAAAAAGTCACCACCATCTTTAAAAAGAGTCAGAGGTAAGTCATCTGGGCAGGTGATTTGTAACGCTTCAAGAGTTGGAGTTCCTTGCGAACTTCCGCCTCATTTGGTGGATCAGTCATCACCAGCCATGTAGGGCAGGACAGTCTGAGCAGTAAGCCAGGTGAACTGCCCTTCGAAGAATTCTATCCATCGTCCGAGACGTCGATGGATGTTAGTGATTGGCATCCCGTCATCCTCACAGATTGTTTCGCTCACACCAGACTTCATGCTGCCAGTGGCTCGGATGAGTTGGAAGAGCTTACGGTAGTTACCAGATGAAGCTGCTGGTTCCAGCACATTAGCACGCTCCGACCACCAGGCTTCCCGATCCTCACGTAAGCTTTGCCCGATTTCATTACGCAACAGCCTTCGTTTATGGCCAGACTCACGGTGACCCGGAGTAGACCGACGGGCTTCAATGAGTTGTAAGGAACCTGAAGAAACCCTGTGCTAATAGGCGTGACGTTGCGCGAAGAGACAAGCGACTTTACTCGCCATTTTCATGGGGCCGTGCAGTTGCAACCAATGCTCATCCATACTTCTCGGTAGAATGGTAGCTAGCCTAGAAGCTAGCTCGATTCGACACTTACTTTCAACAGAAGTTATAACCAACGTTCTGACATCAATTCTTTGGTGGCGGTCACTTCGTTGTCCACTGAAAAGTAAGGCAATATTGGCGCAGACCAAGGCATGGTCAGAGTCCAGATAAGTACCCCGAAAGGAGCGTCAGTCTTGTACACAACCACGTCAGCGGTAGCTGATCGCGATGTGATCAATCTGAGTCCAGGCTTGGGATGCAGAGGGAGGACGCCAGGTGGCACATCGGCGATGACTGTGCCAAAAGTTAGGGCTAGCCAGAAACAGGTTGTGGTCTGTGCACAGTTACAGCAGACGGTCCCCGTTATCTGTCCTGCGACCAACAAGTTCCCATCGGCCACCTAAACGACTCTCTTCTGTGCCCAGACGCCCGACCCTAGCATCCAAGTCTCCGGATAATACTACATGGTCTGTCGGTTCACTTTCTAAAGAAGAACGGTTAACTGGTGGTAGAATTCATCCTTGATTGCATCCGGGCTGCAATTTGTCGGAGCATAGGCGAAGATGACGAAAAGACATCGTTTTTCACGCCGATTTCTTCTCACTTTGATGGAACTTTCTAATCTAACAGCACATAACCGACTGTTAATGGGGATCCAATCGATTAATGCTGCTTCAGCTCTAGCGCTTAGTGTGACACCAACGCCAGCAAGACCAGACGAAGATGCCACAGGGTCTTCGGATAAACAAGATTTGTGAAGCGACAGATGGAGAGCGAATTTGTAGTACTTCACCAGAGTTTTGAATACGGGTCTCGGTTAGACAACAAACGTCGATATTAGGACTTTCCAAAGACATAGCCAGCCTTATCTGTTGTCCAATTGAAATTCAGTCAGTCAGTAACAACGTAGAACTTCGTACATACGTACATCAGTTCGAGTTGCCACACCACATTAGCACAGAGATGCAGTGGTCGATTCATAATCCTGTAGTGCTAAATGTAGTAAAATTATAAGCTGTAATCAGGAAAATTAAGATTTGAAGATGTTATTCAGAGAGTATAATCCAGTGAAATGAATTTGGAAAGAGAAAGAAGAAAGGGACATGAAGAATTCAGAAGATTAGAATTTGGGAGAACACAAAGAGTGGATGCACCTGAGCCATTGCAAACGATTTTGAGCCATGTCATTCAGGGTCTCTAACCATCGGTTGCTATCATCTCGTGGTCCCCAACCAGGTAGTCCACACCTACCAACATGACTCAGTTCACTTGTCAGTGACTTCATGGACTTGTGCCATGTTTTGGTCTGGCCGCCCCTAGCTTCCTTCCAACCTACTACCACACCATAAAACATCGCACGTCGAGGCAGTCGGTGGTTGGGCATACGTAACACATGTCCAAGCCATCTCAACTGATGAAGTTTCACTACGTCATCAATTGATTTGCCATCCTTACCTAGTACCTGTTTCCTAACAACTGCGTTACGTACTCGATGGTCCCATGATATACGAGCAATATTTCGAAGGCACCTATGATCGAATATTAGTAACCTACGAATATCCTCTACTCTTACCGGCCATGTTTCACTGCCATAAAGTGGGACGGAACGAACTGCTGCGCAGTAAACCCGTCCTTTGGTTGATAGACGGATATCCCGCCTACGCCATAAATGACGCAAGTTGGCAAAAGCTAGTCGAGCCTTCTGTATCCGTGCTGAGACTTCGTCACACACCAGACCACAAGGGCTGATGAGACTTCCAAGATAAGTGAAGCGATCGACAAACTCAATTACTTCACTCCCTATCATTAGTTCGGGTGTCAATGCAACCCAATCCTGAAGCAACATTTTGCATTTCGAGGGGGAGAATCGCATCCCGAACATGCTTGCATTGTTGCTTAGAGTGGTCAGAAGACTCTGCATTTTGTCAGCGTCTTCACCAAATAAAACCATGTCATCAGCATATTCTAAGTCAACAAGTGAACCTCCCGGTAGAACTTCAACCCCTGGAAATCTAGACGAGGAAAGTGTTATCTCTAAAAGTACGTCAACGACAAAGTTGAACAAGAATGGAAAGAGTGGACAGCCCTGACGAACACCACTTGAGGTAATCAATTCTGATGACAGTTCGCCATAAGCTCTCACTCTACCAGTTGTGTTCGAGTAGAGAGCCTTTATAAGGTTAATGTACTTCTTTCAGTGACAAACACTGCCATAGAACCTCACGATCAACAGAGTCGAATGCCGCCTTAAGGTCGAGAAATACTACCATTGTGGGGCGCCTGAATGTGTGTCTGTGTTCTAGAACCTGACGTAGTGTGAATATGTGGTCTATACAACCACGTCCAGGTCGAAAACCGGCCTGGTTTTCTCTAGTCTGCTCTTCACGAGCTTTAG